CCCACGGCTGAAAGGGCGACTATGTTTGGGGGGATTCGGTTTCGAACCCGCGACCCTTAGATTGTGAGTTGAGCGCCTTATCCACCTGGCCATGCCGGGCTCCGGAATTATAAGATCAAGGCATATGATTTACAGAATAATTATATATAAAAATCGATTTGATCAAAGATGAGATTGAGGAAAATGTATAGAAGAATTATAACAACAGTGAATGATGATGTAAAGAGCAAGTTATCCATTTTGCTACTTATTTAAAAGAACCAGCTTCAAAATCATTAAGGACCCTTCCAACAATTGTTGCATTGATGGTTGTCTTTTCAATTAGATTTGCAGTGTTACATCAGAAAGAAATTTCTAAAGAAAAGTTTAGGCTCAGATTTAAGGAGGAAGGATGATACATTAGCCAAACTTGCTGAAGATGTGGAACACTTGTTCAATTATCTTATCATATCTTTCACATGAAATTATGAATTTGTTGGCACTTGACCAATTCATGGATATCCTAATTGGTGAGAGCATGTAAATTGGACTAAAACCAAGTAAATGTAGATCTTTAAATGAAGCTTTTCAGCCAGATATAGAATTAGAATAAATTAAAGTTGCAGATAAAAATAAATAAAAGTACCATCCACGAATATGGGATTATCATATCCAATAGAAACATAAACTCCTCATGATGATAGTCTAAAAGAGATCAAAGGATTAGTAAGGTAAGTGCTAACTCAGAATGGAAGAAATTAAATACTGGGCAGAAAGCATTCCAATTGCAACTTAAAAGAGCATAATACCAAGAACGGAGGAAAGGTCTTTATGAAACCAAGACTACAAAGAATGACATGAAAAGGAAACTGTTATAAATTACATTCATGACTCTGAATAATCAATTACTGCTAATAAACCAAGGAGACAATATCTTGAGGATAAGGATACTCCTTCAAAAATTGAGATAAAAAGTGTATTATTTAAAGAAATCAGTACATGGCTTCCTTGATAGGAGTCTTTTAAGACATTGATTAACTTAGGTTCCACAGCTACTACTGTTTGAGCTGATCTGGTAATGAAACCTGGGAACTTGCTTCAAAAGATGAAGCAAGTAGTTGGTTTGATACAAACAACGTTTGTTCATGAAGTTTTATCCAGAGAAAAGTTAGAAACTGTTCTCTATATAGGAAGCTTCTTTACATAATATTATGTGTGGATAATTGACATTGAGAAAGGACTTCATGATGTAAGGAGTGGGAAATGGACTTTATGTAGATATTTCTTGAAACCTGTTTTGAAGTTTAGTTAGAAGAAAGTTTAATGTGATGGACACAGCTATAATGTCTAGAACTTTTTCTAATGATTAGAAAACAATATGAAGCAAATTAAGCTAAAGTGAATTAACAAATTTGTTAGTCAGTTAATAATTAATTAGTACATGATTTATTAAGTTTGACTATTAGTCCATATGTTAGTTCTTCTTCAGGGCGAGAATTTTCCTGGGTCAGTTAGTGTATTTTGACTGCTAGTCACCTATTCTTCTGGTCTTTGGCTTTCTGAAACACACCACAGACCTCTGTGTATTTTATGGCATCTTCAATATGGCAAGTTGTGGAGTTCCATAACCAGTGTAACTTCCTTGGGGATAGGGATGATATTCTGAAATATACATTTCCACCACACTTAACACTCTGCAAACAACTAGCTATTGAAGTTAGATCCTTTATTTGTGGGGTCCCTCCAGGTGCTCCATTGTCACTGACTGCCAATGGAAAAGCTTCAGTACAACTAGCGAGGTATTTGATAATGGCCAGTACATAATTATATTTTTCACTTTTCAGAAAATGACCAATTAACGATTCTGTCATTAGAAGGACCTACAAATATCCGACAGATTTTCCTTGACGTCAATGGTTTACTTCTTTAGGCAGCACATACAATTTACACCATTATTCAATGTATTTTTGTGAAGCAAGTAGTTGGTTTGATACAAACAACATGTGATCATGGGTAAAGTTGTGTGTTATACCACTATTGTCGGATGAAGCAGGGCATGACCCTTCTGCCATCATCCAGTCCTTGCATGATGCAAAGTCTGAAGAATCTCCTGCTTTGAGGTTTACTAGCTGTTTGAAAGGTTGGCTACTACTTCTTAGTGGTTCTTATCAATGGTAGAAAATTCCATTCTGTACTTGTAGCTGACTACTCAAGTGCCAGCTTATGTGCTTTGGTATTATATTGCCAGTTTGTGATGGTCATTTTTTACCTTCCTGAGCACAAAACTATGTCTTTATCCTTTGGTTGCTATACTTGAAATTCCTGATTGGTCATTTCTAGTATTCATCCAAATACAGAATGATCACTACTCATGTGGTTCATTGTCACCATTGCTGCAATGAACCTGACTGCTGCATGGTATCCATGAACTGAACATTCAATGAACAGACACAATCTCACAAACTAACAAGATATTCCATTAATGTTTCTATTCTATCAACCTGGATGGTTTGAATAAGGAAGTTCTACTCTTACGGCATCATTATCTAATATACAATTATACTTCCAAATTTTGAATTTCATTAGCCATTTTAGTGGTGCATGGTTCAATTAACTGGTGAACTTCTCATCGTACAATAGTGGTAATGTTTGAAAAATTCTTCAAATGAAAGCAATTTGTTTGTTGTCATATCAATGTTCAGGAGCATTTACAGTACAACTTGAATATACATTTATATGCTCAAAGATGTAAAAAAATTATTTCAATTCCACTACCACAGTATCTGTGCTCAATAGATATTTCTGTGCCCAGAAAAGCATGTACAAGTCTTAGTGAACACAAACAGTGGTGTGGCTATCTTGGAGAAATATTGTATAGTCAGACTTTGTGTAAAGTTGTGATGTGTTATACCAGTACTGTCAAATTTTATATAAAGTTGTAATGTGTTATACAAATATTTTCAAATCTTGGGTAAAGTTGTAGTGTGTTAAACCAGTACTGTCAAATTTGGGTAAAGTTTTGTGTTATACCAGCATTACCAGATTTTGTATAGTTGTGATGTGTTACAACATTATTGTCAGATCTTGTGTAAAATTGTAGTATGTAATTCCCCTATTTAGATCTTGTATCCAGTTGTGACGTGTATCTTATATAAACCAGTATTATCAAATCTTTTATAAAGTTGTGATGTCATAGCAGTAATATTGGATCTTGTTCGAAGTTGCGATACATTACACCAGTAGTGTCAACTCTGGTGTGAAGTTGTGAAGTGTTATAACTGTCCATCAGATCTGAGGTAAAGCTTGGAAGATTTATAAATACACAGTCTCGTTTGGATTCACTCACTTTATTAAGATAATAATCATGATTCTTTAAAATGTGTGGAGAAATACAACAAAAACACTTAATATATGTTCATGATGTGAATGTGAAACAAAAATAATAACTAAGTCATATTCTAGAAGCTTTAAATATCAAAGCATGACCATACTTCAATATTCTAAACATGCCTCCTGATGTACGGCAAGAGAGTATTTGTCAATGTTTTTCTTACAATTATTTTTCCATTGAAAAAAACTAGAACTCTTCTAGTGGTTGATGCAACTGATATTTTTCTCTTCCCAGATGTAATTACAATCTAACCTTCTGTGACACTAGCAAACTGACAAAACCAATTATCGTTATTTATGCTTTTAAAAAATGTCTCTACAGAGCTTACTAGTTTTTAAAATGTTTTTAGAAGTAATTACATGTTTTTAGTTGTTGTTTTTTTTTATTGATATTTAGCCTCAGTAAAAGTTGATGTGTAAACTTGGCCTCATATGTTATTTGTTTATAAACATAATGACTTTCTGTAGCTTTCTACTAAATTCAGGAAACTTTGTAACCTTAATGCAACATCTAAAGGTTTAAAAGATCTAGCTTAAAAATATTTTAGACACAGATAGATTTTTCAAACCACAGCCATTATCTGCCCATACTTTGTATGTAATGGACCACATAAATTGACTTATAAATAAATTTTTAATTTGTATTTTTTGTATAAAAGGTTTTTGTCCATGGACATAGCACTACCAGGTTTATTATGGAACAGAGCATTAGTATATAACTGCTGAGTTATCTAAAAATGTCAGTATTTCCCAATAAACAAAAATCAAACTTTATGTTAAAATTAAAAAAAAATATTCTATTTATTTAGCATTGAGAATTTTAATAGAAAAGACCAAGATTTTTTACCTTCATTCAGGCAAAATGACATTAGAGTAAAACCTTTTCACTCGAACAAAGTAACAGTAGAAAATTTTCATTCAGCAAAATTAACAGTAGAAAGTTTCATACTCAAAGCAATTATTAGGATAAAAAAATATTCGAAGAGAGTATTAAATAATTACATAGTAAACCAAGTTGATTATATATATAAATTCAGTTTTATCTTACTACACAGAACATATGATGCTAAACACTCAAAATCTTTGGAATAATGTTACTGAGATTTTTATAGTTTACCAACCTATAATGCTAGATGTGTAAGAAACATTACATTAGAAGTCAGTTAACTAGAAATTATCCAGGTGAACATTCTATGATAATGCAAGTTTATCCCCAACTAAGGTGCAATCTAAATGCACTACTTTCAATATATATAGTTTAAAATGTGATTTAAATCTTATGAAGTTTGCTTTTCAGAAAAAAGCTACTAATACCGCAGTATGTAAATGCAGAAGTAATGTTAGTTTAATAAAATTAATTTTGATACTGCTAATGTAAATTAATGTAAATTTTTATATTTCTAATCATGAAGTAATGTTAATTTTTATATTTCTAATCATGAGGTAATGTTAATTTTAATAATGTTAATGTAATGCAAAATAATTTTCATTTTAATACTGTTCATATACCATTCAGTATGGTACAGAAGGAGAATTTTAATATTTTTTTACACATCATTTTGAATGGAATGGAAATTTAATTCTAAAATTGCTCACATATCATTCAAAATGGAAAGGAAGGATAACTAATTTTCTTCACATACCACTGAGAATGAAATGGAAGAATAATTTTAGTGTTTTTCACACAACGTTCTGGAAGAAATAGAAGGATAATTTTAGTATTTTTACACAACGTTCTGGATGGAATAGAAGGATAATTTTAGTATTTTTACACAACGTTCTGGATGGAATAGAAGAATAATTTTAGTGTTTTTCACACACCATTCCGGATGGAATAGAAGAATAATTTTAGTGTTTTTCACACACCATTCCGGATGGAATAGAAGGATAATTTTAGTGTTTTTCACACACCATTCCGGATGGAATAGAAGGATAATTTTAGTGTTTTTCACACACCATTCAGGATGGAATAGAAGGATAATTTTTGTATTTTTACACACCGTTCAGGATGGAATAGAAGGATAATTTTAGTATTTTTACACAACGTTCTGGATGGAATAGAAGGATAATTTAGTTTTTTTACACAACGTTCTGGATGGAATGGAAATATAATTTTAACATTGTTCATGCATCATTTAACATGGAATGGAAGGATTCCTTTTGTAGAGATAAAACTGCTAGCTACTGTACATTTAAAAAAGATAAAAGTTTATCTTAATTCTATGAAATACCTAAATAATGTTTACCAACTTGCATGTAATAAGTTGACTAGTGATAGGTATTTGTAATATAAACAAACCATTTAGCAAAAACCACTTAACCCGTTAAAATTTTTTGTCATATCACATATATGTTTGCAGGTCATTAAGCAAAATAAACTGATCAACTTTCCAACCTAATTTTCTTTGTACACATACTCAAGTCAGAAAATTTGGAAGATAAACATTGAAGTCACATTTTTAAAATTTTCGTGCAGTAAATAAACAGATGAGAAAGATAATTTTTCATAACTTAGTACAGCAAGTAACCAGTTGAGTATGAACATAAAACAAGACAATTTTCCTACCTAGCACAAGTATCCAGCCGAGAAGGAACATGTTTAATACTGAGATAAATCAAATAAAAGGAAAGAAAATTTTCATATATAGTTATTATAACAAGTAAGCAGTTGCTTAGGAACATTTTCAATACTTCATAACAACAAATATTCAAATGAGAAACATAATTTTTATACCTAGTACAGCAACTAAGCAGATGAATAGGATTATTTTTGATACTTTGGTGCAAGTCATGTTGGGTATCATAAAAACTGATTTAAGCTTTAACAATTGAAAAGAATTAAAATTAAGCTATTACACAATTAACTAACCTATTAATTAAAGAAGTAGCTGCAGAAGTATGTGATCTGTAAAATACCTTTACATCCCTTCTTTTGGGCAAGTACATTAGTAGGATTTATCTTGTTTAGATGAGGCTCAACATGTAACCATAGAAACCAAAAATTATCAGTGTTTTTTTGTTTTTTTATTTAACTCTTAATGTTGTGAAAAGATTGTTTTAATAATTACAGAATTTATAAAAAGGTGTGTGTGTAACTTGATGTACACAAATGTTGTATACTGACAGTAATGCATTGTGAAATCAATTCTTTGTTTAAAAGTGCTGAGAATGAGAGAATAAAGGATACTTTTTTTTTTGAAGAACTTGAGATTTGAACATTATACAATAATTCTTAGTCACTACTCTCATCTTCCAAATAATAGAGTGGAACAGAATAATAATGCAGGGTGGAAAAATTCAGACTTTAAATTTAATGATTGAACAATTCAAAATTATAGCATGGAATTGAATTTTCTGTTTTTTTTTGTTAAAGATGACCAAAACTGAAATAAGCATCATACAAGGTGAAGCTTCTCCACAATTAATAATTGTACAAGTACAATTATTTGGAATATGAAAGTAACTAGAAAAAGCCAAAGCTACTTGTATTTTACAGAGAGGAAAAAGATGAAATAACAAAGGAGTCTCTAACTGCTTGCAATAAGAAACTAAAACCTGAAAACAATATTGAATCTTCAGAATTATAGCTAGAATCCGAATAAGTGTAATTTCTTTGCATAATACTAAGCTGACAAGTTAACTTTTCTAAGTTTCTTCATGGATAAATAGTGGGCAGTAATAATACTTGCCCTGCACAATTCTCACATAATCAATTTAAAATAATCCTAAATTAATGACAGCAACTAGGATATATATATATATAAACAGTCACACTGAATTTCTTTTGTCATTACTAAAATTTCACTGTAAAAAAAAGAAATAATATGGTTTTGATATTTGTTGCATTATTTTCTTGATCATTCAAACAAACCCAGACATTTTATTACAATCTATGATTCTTATATAAAGTATTTTAAAAGTTGATTGTTGAAAGAATATTTTTTCACTGATTCATACATTTAGAAAAATAGATAAAAACTTTCAATTGTAATAGAAAAATATAAAAGTGATTCCCTTCAAATCAGTTACCAATAAAACCATCAACTCTTAATATTTAAAACTTACTTCTAATGCAAAAATGAGCAATATAAATTGTGATTTACTTTTTGATTCTTTCTTCAAGCTGTTAGAGCTTTCCTGAAACTAGGGAAATTCAAACCTAAAACACTATTACCAGTTTGGGGCTGCCCAGTGAAGCACTTTCATTGCAACCTCAAACCCAAGGAAACACGCCTAAGAAAAGAAAAAAAAATATTGCTAATTACAACAACAACAACAAAAGGAAATTTATTAATTAACTTATGGATAAAGGATTTAGAAAGGAAAACATTTGAAAAAAATATGAACTCCTAGAGAATAGCATTTTATGAAAGCACACTCCAATATAAGTTTAATAATTAATCATGTTTATGAGTAAAATGGCTGCGTAATTTTTCTCTAGTTGACAAGACTACAAAGATGTACTAAATACTAGTTTCATTTGTTGTCTGAATCATGAAAGTAAACAGAATATTCAGCTTGACACTATGAATATGACTATAACTTACTGCATTAGCAGGGAAAGCTCTTAGCATCACTGGAGTTATGCCCCGATAAAGAGCAGATACACCTTCCTCAGCTAGTGTTCTTCGAAATACATCCCTAATCCCTCGAGGGTAGGTGCCCTCTGGTGCTATTAGTTAAAGTAGAGTAAAAGCAGTTTTTTTTATTTGTACCATACACTATGGAAGGCAATTATTTAAAAATCATTAGAACAAAGTAACATATTTAAAGTTCCAAGGTAAAAACACTCATCACAGGTTTGACATTTAATGGTAAAAGCATTCACCATACATCTTAAGTTCAAAGGTAAAAATGCTCATCAAAGGTCTGAGATTCAAAGGTAAATACTTGTTAAGGGTGTAAAGTTCAATGATAAAAGTAACTGATATTTAAGTAAAAAGTGACTTGTAATGACAAAACTGAAACTCTTAATGCACAGATTGCAGAATAACAAAAAAACTAAGTTGAAAAAACTGGAGTATTTGGTATTTAGTGTTAGAAAAACAGCTTTAAGTCAGAGAATGAACATATTTATTTGAAAAAGTAACAAAAATGTTTATCAACAAAGTAATGAGTAACTGCTATACTCTGGTGCAATTACAGATGATATCTAGTGAATAAACAAAATAATGTGAAACACTATGACACTAAGTTCCTGTTAAACTTGTATTCTCACATGGAGTTTGTACATATATATACACAAATGTTGTCAATTTATACTTCCTGGAAAAAGATGTGTAGTTAAACAAAACCATGTAATAAAAGTCACTTTATGTTCAGAATGCTCCTCTGGTTGGTTAAGCTCGCCTTTCTATTGGTAACATTCAAATTAGCTCAGTGGTTTGTCTTGGGCAAAAATTTTGAGTTCAAATCCCAGTCGAGTGGGGATTTTTTTATAACATTTAATTATTAAAACATCATCTTTAGAGAAAGATATTACAATATTAGGAAAACAACACAATTACATTGATACTTTACATTAGCAATTTGAATTATTCCTTAACATTCAATTACAAAGACTGGGAGTCGCAGTGGTAATAGTGCTCAATTGTCATGTGGAAGTCTTGAGTTCAAATTCCAGTTGAGATTTTCTGTTAATCTTTTTTTTTTTATTATTATATTTACTTATTAATATATTTATTATCATATCTACTACAGGTTCTTTGAATATTCGGAAAAATACAAATAAAACTATAGATTAACTCAGGGATAATATCATATTACATAATAAACACAAGTTACTGTATATGTCAAAAGCAAATGAAATATCTTTTCAACCCAATAGATGGTGCTACAACACATTACGATTGATATTTTTCACCTTTAGTAAGAGATTTTTAAAAATTTAGTCAAAAAATGTATAACCATTTTTTATGAAGAGTTATACTTTCTTACATTTTCCCTTCATCCTCAAATTCTTTGCCTTTGCCACCACAATTAATAAGTTGCAGGGTCAGACGTTTGACCATGTAAGAATATTTTCTTCAAAACAATTTTTGCATGGTTCAATTTACAAGGCTTTATGAAGAAGCAGATTTGAACATAACATAAAAATATATACAAGTCCAAATTATAACCAAGGACAACTTATAAGAGATGAACAATATGTACAAAAAATTTTGTTTTCCTGAAATGCTAGAAAAAGGATAGACATTCATCTTCATCTTCTGTTAAATGTAGTCATAGGTGCTAACAATGTAACAAAAGAAAACCTAAATCTTAAGGCAAGATAAAGCTAAAAAATTTGGGTTTTGCAATCCTTGTGTGTTGCTTTGATAACTGTACATCATTTGCTGTTTGGATTTCTGTAAAACTTCACTGTTTAAAAAACAGCACTGCATGTCTAAAACACAGGTTTAGAAACTTGAAAGTTTGTATTTAAAAGTTGAACAATGTCTTCATTTAAAACTTGAAAAAAGCTGTATTTAAAGCTACTCAGATAGTATTGAAGAACTGTGACCAAAATATTCACCAATCTACTCAAATTCAAATTACGAGAAGTATTTTCTTATTGGTCTAAACCACAATTGTACTATTTGAAAGGGTAGAAAGAATAAAAACTGTCATGTTTTTTACACTAAATAGAACACTGTACCTGTTTGAAGACGAGATTTGAGAACATCTGGCCCAATGGCTACAATCCAGTTAAACACTCCAGCCATGCCTCCGGCAAACATAGTTTTTAATGGACTAAGGTCACTTCGGCTGAGAAGGATAAAAAAGTATCAACGTTAAATGTTTTGGTAATATCCAGAATGAAAAAATGTTTCATTCTTAATATTTTCATATTACACATTCATTATAGGTGTTGAACATATTGTTTAATTTTTTATTATTTCAACAACATTGACAAAAAAACACTACTACCTAAACAATTTTCATATAAGAGCAATATAAAAGTTACAATGTAACAAGGTTACAATAAGTGGTATTAAGCAAACATATGTTCCATCTTCAAATCTGTGTTAAAACAAAGAATGTGATAAAGTTGTGCCCCATTACTCTTTGTATAAATTCTCTCTCTCTTAAACAATTATTATATATAATTTTGAAAATTTAATTCTTTTCAGATTAGGTGATGTAACTCACAACACTTGATTTTTTTCCTTTATCACACTGAATATACCTACCTAAACAGTATGGAACTTAGAACAAACTTACTAAACAGTATCTAGGTTTGGCATCAGTTATTATACACTAAATTTTCACCTTGAGATCAATTACAATAAACTTTAATTGTTTGTTTCAACTTGTTATTAAATTATATATATATTTTTACACTTATGCCACCCTAACATTACTTGGTGTAGACTAGTGGTTTCCAGCTTCTGATACACAAAAACATCCAGTGAATAAAAGAAAAATGGAGTTAAAAGAAATGTATAATAATGATAATTGAAAATATGTATTATTCTTTCTGAATAAATATTCATGTTATTAAAGTGTGTATCCTACATTCCTAATGGTCTATAAGATTTTCACTAAGATCTTTCCTGTCAGTGGAATGGAATTGCTTGGAAAACACTAGTACAGACTCAGTTTTTAGCCTCTTTATCAACATGTATGGTGCACTATAGATAAAATTTTTTGTTTCACCACAACATTTATTACTCTAAACTGTGGCTGTTAAACAATTTAGTAACTAGAATCACTTTCAAATACAAATAATATCAACCATTAAAAATATTTTATACATTATGATATTCAAGTTTTAACAGTTTTTAAAAGTAGCCTTTATTTCTCCTTAAAAATAATTTTACAAATACTTTAACAGAAGCCAAGTGTTTTTTAAATCTAAAATGGATGAACATTCTACTTTAACCTATTGTGTCCCAGTCATCATCATATCATACTACAATTCTGTGTGTCAGTACATATTATAAGTATGCGCAATAAGAATTTTACTCAAGAAAAACCACACAGGCACATCATGCACTTGATAATAACTGGCCTGCCTGTGGCAGGAGCTGCAAAGTTCAATAAAAAAGTCACTACAACTGCCCTATGAATGAAGGAATAACAACAAACGACAGAAGTGAATATACTTTACTAACCATTTTGTAAAACAACAATAAAAGCTTAAAGTTTTCAAAAAGGTTTGACATTAGGTTGTAGAATAACATTATAAATTTATTTCTCGATAGTATTAAGTACAGTAAAGTTTAGTCCTAACTAAACTAAAGTAAAAAGCATACACAAGTTACAGCATTAATTTATCTCTTTATCAAACTTAGGCCTAACATTAGTTGAGGTTTTATAAAATATGGCCTATATATAAGTGGAATTACATATTTTGGTGTTTATGATTGTAATTTGTTTTTAATTATTCTACAAATTATTGTATTTAAATAAGTACTGTTGCAATAAATACACTAATTTGACCACAAATGTTTTGCAGATCTTTGCTAGTTAATAAAGATTTTTTATTGCAGTATAGAATTTAACCTAAAGGTTTATATTTCCCAATACTCATTGTAGTATACATGTTTACAAACAGAAATCTGATTTCAATAACATCATACTTAAACTAAAATTTTTTAAATACAGTATCTCACGTATTTAAACAAAAGCTTCAATTACAGTAACACAATTTAATTAAACACTATCAGTGGTGGCTTATCAGGTAGGTACTTCTGCACACAATTTTTACATCTACATCTTGTCCCTCACCTGCCATATAGGCCCCAAACTACAAATTTTCAAAATGATAATTCCCATAATTAAATAAAATCTATCTAAGTTACAGTAATTCAATTTAAGTAAAAGCTTTCACTATTTTATTCAAAAAATTAAAAACAAAACTCAATTACTTTAATAATACTTGATTAAAAAACTATTACTATGGTAACTTGCATAAGTGAAAAGAAAGATTTGTTTAAAGTAATTTACCTTTTCCCATCTGGTGTTAGAATTTTCTTCAGAAATTCATAAGTTAGAAACCAAGTTCCAGTAGCAGGAACGTCTCGAAGAAAACAAAAAATATATGAACAGAAATAGATTCAAATAAATAGATCAATAAACTCACTAGGTTAACTTGCAAACAAAGATTACAAGTCTTTAACAATGGACTTCAATACAGGAGTGTAACCTTCCTGTTTTTATCTGGATAGTACACAGCTATAAGCATTCTGTAATACAAAAATAATATGTGATGACTAACTCAAACTAAAATGTAAAGATTACATGTCTTTAACAAAGGATTTGAAGACAGGAGTGTATTGTTTTTATTTTAATCTGAAAAGTAAATAGCTGTTAACATGATGTAATAGAAAATGATTTGACTACTAACTTAAAACAACAATATAGACAAACACATTAAACGTTAACAATGAAATTATGCATTATATACACTGTATCTGTGTTCATCTTACTAACTTTTAGCACCTGATTTGAAGTATAAATGATTAAAACATTATGGAGATGGTCAATACACAATAATCAAATTCAAATTTTCCTGCATTGGCAGTACAGTTTAGAAATACATTATCAATCATATTTCACAATATAGAAGTGCACTTCACATATGTTTTACATTAATTTTATAGTTTAATTTTATTACTTTTTTAATGAGGATATGCTACACATCAACTTGGATTGCACTGTAAAGCAGCAACAACACTGTTAAGATAAGAAGTATTTGAATTCATAAAGTTTTGAAAGTATAAACAGTTGCTTTATGTATTCATTCAAGGAGAGAAAAAGATACATCACAGATATAGTGGAACCACTCAACAAATAGGTGAGGTACTGATAAGTAATGTTAGCTACCAAGCTCCCAATATTTGCAGAAACATGTGTGTTTGAAGTTAATATTTTATATATTATTGAACTTAATACAAAGGTAAAAAAAATGTCAAAAGTATGTTTTAAAAAAATTTCTACTTCACAACCAAACTGTGACCTGAATTATTTCAGTTTAAAACACTAGATACTTATATACAAAAATTTTAAATTAAACTAGAATAAACCTAGCAAGATACAAGAAACATTTCCTACAGTTTGTAAAAGCATCTTACCCCTGAGCAAAGTAGCACAGGTTCCTCTGTAAATACTTCGAATACCCCCTTCCTTGTAAATCTGACGTGCACAATCAATTGGTCCTTTGTACTTAGAACTTCCAGATGCTTGTTGAATCTAGAGCAAATTACAAAAAAATAAACAAAACAAAGCAAAGTAATAAAAAATATTAACATATCTCTACTGAAAAGAACTAAAATGGGGCAATTCCAAAAAAAATGAAATTATAGATCTCTGCTGAAAAGAAATTGGACAAGGTACAACCCCCCCCACAAAAAAAAGAAATGTAATCAAACATTACTAACATATTTCAACTGAAAAGAATTGAACAAGGTACAAGCAATGCAGTTTACCAAAAGCTATTAACTTTACTGAAAAGACCTAAACAAGATCAAACCCCAAAACAAAGCAGTGTCATCTAAAGTAGGGTTCTTAAACTATATCTGTAGTGGCCCAGATTGGGAAAAATTAGGAGTAGGAAGGCTACAAGTATTTTACTTTGCACATTCTTAAGCAAGATAATAAACATTATATAATTTAATGTTAGAGTGTTGAACAAATTTCATCATATGAATAGTGCTTTAATAACAGAACAATGTAACATTTAAGGGAATATTATTACAAATATTTTTAAATATCTGTAGGATTGTACATACAGTGTCTTTTAAAAAATAAAATTACTATACATTCTTGTACCATTAAGTGTTTTGTTGTATTGCCATGTATGTCAATATAATTAGCATACAAGATTTTGAACGTTACTCATAACCTGATTTACAATGTTCCTGTCTTTTTCTCATATTGGCAGGGCACTCGGTTGTCCCTTACGGTCATGTGGGACTTGTGGTCCACCAATTAAAGAGCCCTGATCTAAAGCATCTAATATGTCTCTACTTATATAACTGAACAGGATACAACCTAAAAATGCAGTAGGGTAATAAAAAGCTATTATCATACATCAATGCAAATACCCAAACACAATGTATAATTTTAATTCTCCTGAAACTTTATAAAGTTTACACATATCATAAGATACATTACACAAATCTGGTTTATCTGAAATTCTTGGAGGTGTACAGAATTCAATTTTATATAAAGATTTTCTGTCATTTTTTTTTTTTTCAGGTGAATAATGTTTTGTTTTCCTTCGTTTCTGTAGGTTTATTTTTTCAGAATACAAAGAAGTTAGCACAATATTGACAAACCAAAGGGCATTCCCATCACCTTCTATTGAAACTAGATCATGATCACTTAGGTTGAATAGATAAACTCTTATACAAATAAGTTTTTATTGTAAGATTATACAGTGATGTGTGTAAAATAACATCTAAATGTAGTTTGTTTTATCCTACAGGTTCATAAATAGATATTGATCATTCAGAAAATTTTAACTTTAGCCCTTTTAACAATTTCTTCAAAGTATGATTATATGACATTAAAATATTTTAATCATTATAAAATTCAGATTTGTGTCCTTTGTAAAAATAAACAAACTAAATTGTTTTTGATCACATTTTGTTAAAAATCAAACTAACCTGAAGAAGGCACTTAATTCTCTCTCCAGGGGTCATAATGAATGTGGTAAAAACACCTGCCATCATTCCTGCATTAAAGACTTGTGGAAGGCTGTAAGACGACGATAAGTTTGTGTGGAAAAAAAAGTCATTTAGGAGTAAATTATGGATCTTTTTCTTTTTTTGTAATGCAAGTCTACATGTTTCAACACAGATACTTCATAAATGTAAAGATAACCTCTTTATTGTAATCTTCAATAAATCTTAAAAAAAGATAAAAAGCTTTTACATCTTTATATTTATGTGTATACAGACATCAACATGCAATGTGTAAATATTCTATCTAGACAACATCTCTAAATGAAGACACACACACACATATGAAGATGCAAGTTTGGCGAATTCTTTAGAAAGAATGAAAATGACTGAAGAAAATATCTGCTTGATTCTTTTGGGGAGAAAATGTCTGATATGATTGTATGCTGTTCAAACAGGAGAAAAACTGAGCTAAGTATTTAATTTCTTATAACTTCTGAGTGAAGTAAAAAAATGTGTATAATAATATGTCAACCACACCTCATCTGCTATTTCCAATTAAGGTTTTCTCCTCAATACCAGGGCTCTTGAGGTCAGCTAGGATTGTTGAAATTTATTTGTACAAGCAAACTGCTTGACAACAACTCTTATTGTGTGGACTGGTTTAAATTGGTGAAGTTGCATCAAAACACTTTAGAATTAGGGTAAAGATTATTTTACATTACACTAAACGTATGCAATGGTCATCGTAAAATATAATGCCACCATCCTTAAAAGACACTGTAAAAACCTGATACTTTGCACAATAAAATTTCACATAAAAAGGAGCAGCTAAGAATTATGTATAACATGTATTTTTAACTCACAAGTTCATATCCATATCCAGATTTTACATTCAGACATTTATTAAGATACTACAGCCTCATGGATCAGATTATTATCAACACTCAGTTTTGAGAATAGCAAGTAATAATGAAAACAGTAAAATATTTTCACTATTCAACTTTCTAAGAATATACTTTAAAAACAAAAGAACTCACGATAGTTCGTCATTTGGATGTTTTTGCTGTACTTTCTTTCCTAGCCCAAAACCAAAAAAGCAGACAGCAAACATTGGTGTCACTCCAGCTATTGGTGCTGCCATACCTTTGTACAAGCCCAGAAAACCCTGAAAAAAATATATTTACAAAAAATAAACCAAGTATATGGCCACAGCCAGATTTGATGAAGGATTTAAGTCTCATTACAACGTGTTTATAAAGTAGAATTAGGAGTGTTTCTATAAATACATTTAGAGTGTATTTTTTACATATTTTCTAAGGGATTCCTCATTAAATGGTTTAGGTTAAAAATAAACTAAAAATCTGTGTCATAGGCTCAAAGGCAAGTTTATTTTAATTGTGAATCTACAATTATTGGTGTATTTTAAATATTTTTTATCATCATGCTGTGATGATTGCAGTTTATTAATTGGACACTTGTACCAAACAAGATTAAATCATACTAAATGACTACAATCTTTAGTCACGACAAGATTGTCACACATGCCTACTTCAACTTCTTTTGTTTTTTTCTAGTGTTTAGACATTATTTAAATAGTTAACATTTTTTTCCTGACAAATTTATCCATACATTGAAGATTTATAAAAAATTAGCCAATGAAAATAATTCTTCTAAACAAAAAGTTATTTTTACTCTATAAGAATTGTGATAAAGGTCAGAAAAATATAGAAAGAAAATATTCAACCAATAACAGTTATGCAGGTGATACACATCATTAGATAAAAATGCCTTATTTCTCAATTTTCTCAAGAGAACTTGAAGATCATTACCAAAAAAAAATACTAAAGCCTTTACCATTACTACAGTTATAAATTGATGAATATAACATTTCTGAAAAATAAAAAACACAAAAAAATTTGCAATTATTAATAATTTAATATATGTATACACATACACTTCTTGCCATTTTTTCATAATCAGTTACATAAATTAATATTTATTTCAAAGAAAGTAATAAGTATCTCAATTCTATAAAATATTTTTGAGAAATACATCCCTAAGTACATAATAACTTTAAAAGCCCTTTTGTGTAATTTTAGACATTTAAATACATAATAAACCATTAGTAACATATTCTTACACAGTCCTTATCGTGCTTTCTTTTATTATTTTTTATCATCTTTTCCTTCAGGTTTTTTATGTTGGAGAGGAAGTTCTCAGATGGTTGCAGTTTATTAACTGGTCCAATGTATCAAACAAGATTAAATCAAATTAAATAACAACATCCTCTAGTCAGAACAAGAGTGTCATCTTTTCCCACTTAAATTTCAGTTCTACATTTTTTCTTTATGTATCTTTACACTACACCTACATTCCATTAATATCTATCAGAACAGAAAAGCTTCAATACTTATAATACAAATATGAAAGCTCATCCATGATCTTCATGCTCACAAATCACATTTTCAGTATTTACCCTACTTTTGATTTTTATTTAAAGAAATTGTTTTTCTGATTGTCTACTGCTGCTTTTTTTATTTTTACAAAATATAATTTAAAAACTACACCACTGATACACAAAGTGATAATAAAAGTTAAAAAGCTTGAATGCTTAATAAGATTCTCTTAATTAGTACTAAAAGAAAAGAAACACAACCATTCTTCATACCTACACATTAACAAAAACATTCATCATACAAACTCATCATCAATACAATCATTCATCATATCAACGCGTGAACAAAACCAAGAATGATGCTACACATTTAGCATAACCAATTACATTACACATCATACATAATCATTCATGATACTCACATATTGAACAAAACCATTTGTGACACCTACACACCCAATAGAAACACATCTACATCCCAGTAAAATCATTCAAAATTTCTACATATTCAACACAAAATTTGTGACACCTACACACCCAATAGAAACACATCTACATCCCAGTAAAATCATTCAAAATTTCTACATATTCAACACAAAAATTTGTCTTTCTACAAATTGTTACTGATATCTACACATTGAACACAAACATTTATAATATCTATAGATACAATACAACCATTCCCAATGCTGACACATCCATCTCCACCACTTATAATACCTAAATATCCAACAAGACTATTCATGACATAGATCTACACATTCAAAACTATCATTCAAAATATGAGTATACAAGTTCAAAAGCACTATTCATGACACATTCAGCATCACCATTCATGTCACCTACACATCCAATATCACCATTCATGATATCTACACATCCAATACCACCACTTATGATACCTACACATCTAACACAACCATTAATGACACCTACATTTCAATATAACCATGCATACCACCTATATATCTAACACAACTATTAATGACACCTATACATCCAACATCACCATCCCTGACATCTTCACATTCAACCCAGCTATTTGTGACACGAGTCTACACATCCAACACCACCATTCATGACACCTCCATATCCAACACCACCATGTACGAAATCTACACATCCAACACCACCATTCATGACACCGACACATCCAATACTACCATGTAGGATATCTACATATCCAACACAACTACCTATGATTCCTGAACACTCAAATAAAGATTATCCTTGGCTTTTAAAGTGTAACTGTATATAAATGTAAGCATCAAAAACAGTAAAGTTAACATTTTCCTGATATGAAAACATATTTCTGGTAGATAATCACCTCCTCACATAAATATGGGCATCTACCTAAGAGGTTTACATGCCACCAGCCTTAAGCTTACTCCCACATAAATTGACAGGAACTGCACTGGTGTATGATGATTTCATTATTAAATAATAGCCCTCCACTAATAGGAGGGCAACACAACTTCCTTGAGCAGTAACACCCCACCCCCCTATTCACTTGCACTTGTGTTAATTTCATTCTTAGCTGAGACAAGAAGAAGAAAAAAAAAGGTGCACTGGAAGTGAGAAGGATGGGTGGGAATGTATGTGGAGGTATCTATCAGAAATACATTTTCAGACTAAGAAAATGTTAACTTCCAAGACTATAATTCGCTTCTGCACACAGAAATGCTAGAATCCCATGATGAACTGGTGGAGGGGCTAGTGCAAAATGTAAACTAAAATGAGCTCTCTTCAGAAAGCTCCCAAAGGGTAAGCCAATGGAGTGTGACACTTGACAGCAGGAGCTCCAAAGAGGCACAACTACAGGAAACTGTGTCTTCTCTTGACCAGGGTATTCTCTTTGCCTGACAGGAAATGAAGGGAAAGGCAAAAGAGCTTGAAGTATTGCAGGGGTGGGTGAAATGTGATCACCACTAACTGAGCACTTGCACACAAGTGGTTGGCAAGCCAATATGTGCAGTGTGGTTATAAAGCAATCAGACCCTGCTGAATGTGCTCACCTTGACTCTACTGGACAGACTTTGACTGCAGGAGGAGGACAGATCAGCTGTGTGAGGGGTGGCCTGAACTACACTAACAATGTCACGACCACCCTACTTCTCAATGTATCATGCTAAGCCCAACTGGTAAGAATTCTCCATAGTCCACCACTCCAGTGGCTAGAAACGGGTAAATGGCAAGGGTCTCCCATGCTTCACTTGAAGAAGATGGGGGTAGAACTTACACTGGGGAGACCCAGAGAAGTGCCTGGATCCTTACTAGACCACCAAATGGAAGACTTTTACTGGAGACCACAAAACCCTATTTTTTAAAATGGGCAAGTGCAAGCCAGAGAAATGGGCAATCACTTCCCTAGTGCCATCTTTTTTCATGATAGTCCATTAAATTGGCACAGTCTGGATTGGATAAATTAGTAAATTTATATACCAGTAGGATACTTCAAGTGGTCTTGTAGAATACCCCATATAGCAGTGGGCACTGGCAGAGCTAGGGTGGATGGTATGAACACTTTCCATGATCCTGACATGATGTAAATTTTGGTAAACAGGCATAACCTGAGAGGCAACACAAGCCACCTGGTGGGATCCTGTTTGACAGAAAAGGAGAGAAATGAAAAGGGAAACATACTTACCCAAAGATGTTGGGTCAATTGAAGTATGATGTCCAGTGGAAGTTTAAAATCTTGTGGGAGACAAAACATCCAGATGGTGAAGAGAAAAAATGATGAATGTGTGGGGAGTTGTCCACATGCCTGTTTGGAGGTCTTGTCTAAGGGCTGGTGAAAATAGGAAGCAAGATAATGAGAAAGGTGATGAATCAGATGCAAAGAAATGTGAAATAGCCTGCAAGCATCCACAACCAGGAAAGAATAAACCAGAGGTGTTGACAGACCCATCCATTAAGAAAAGAAAACGAGAAGTTCCACATGAGAAACACACAATAGCAAGGATTCCATAAAGATGTCAGTGATAACAAACAGCTCAAACAGGACACTGGAGTCAATCCAGGTCTAAATGATCATAGATGTGAGAGATAAAAGGGAGATATGAGAGAAAAGAAGCAGAAGTCTGAGGAAGGAACCACTAGTCCAGGTAGAGATGTACATAAGTGTGGTTGGAGAAGCATCGATAGCATAAGCATCCAAATGAAGGAGACCACGGGCAACAAGGAGGTGGAAATAAGATATAAGAGAAAGGTGGTACAAAGAGCAAGAAGCCAACAATTTGAATGGGGGTCACATGAGAGCGTGAAAACCATATTAATGACCCAGACAGATATGGGAGTTGGTGACAAGGTCAGTGACGAAAGAAGGAGTGGAAGAGACTGGGGAATAAAAAACCCTCTGGTACTAGGAAAAGCAAAAATGTAGTGAACAATGCCACCTGATAACCAGTAATGGTGGAGACCAACAAATTGATGTGGAACAGCCCATTAAAAAAGGCAGAAAGGCGGTTCACAGTAGGAAGAGTATAAGACTGAAGTCAAGAGGGATGGCAAAGGTGTCTATGCGGGGCATGCCTAACAAAAAGCCCGAGGGAAAGAATATGGTCCGATCAAGAGAGGCAGTCCATCACAAGGTACGTAGCTACTAGCACATAACAGACAAGAAGACAAATCCAATATGAATGAACCCAGAATAGTATTTCCAACACCCAGAAGCAAGGGGTCCTGAAACAGATGCTCCCTGGATGGTTAATGTAAGAAACAACTGTGAAAATGTCAGAGTGGATGGTGATCAATTAATCCACCAGATGAGGCAGGAAATGAAAACATACCCAATGAACAGCAAGAAATTTGAGCACACTGATGTGGAATGAATGCTTGTCCTACATCCAAATGCCACATCATCATTTACAAATGTGCCTCAATCCAAGAAGGATGCATTGGTAGAGATAGATCCAGTATGGAAGTTAATAAGGGAGTGTTAGAGGTAGTATTGGTATGGTCTAGCCACCATGACAATTCTTTGAGAAGAGGTTCACAATCAAGGTCAGTGGAACCTGAGAAAGAATCCCTTGGAACCACAAGGTCCACTGGGGGAGACACAAAAGGGTCTGATGCTATGTTGAAAGGAAAAGATAGGAACTGGAAGACACGAACCTGATGGATGGAATGTAGAAAGCATCTGGAGGATGAAGCAATAGGGATGTGTAGGCAGGTGTCTGACCCATCAGCCATGTCCAACCTTAGACTGGGTGAAAAAGACCATAGATGGGGGCAAGGGAAGGAGAAAACAAAATAGGAAAAGGAGTGGGGAGAAACCATGTGAGAGAATATAAAAAACATCTTTTGGCAGAAACTGAGAGCAACTGAAGAGGAAGAGATAGATACCCCCAAGGCCTGATGTGATAGGACAGTCACTAACAAGAAGAGTGAACAAAATATTGGATGGTGGGAGGGCAAGAAAACGAAAAAGGCCTAGAACCTGGAATATGAAGGGTAGGGGTAAACTGATCCAGAAAAGGAACAAGAGTCAAAGAGCAAAGGAGCAAAGTCGTGTAACATCAGTCCAGATCTCCAGAGTGAACGTCACCAAAGATGTCCAGGCAAAGAGTGTGAGCCCGATGAAGACCATATACACTAAAAGAAAGAACGTGTACAGTAATAAAGAATGCAACTTCACCAAATGAGTCTCAAAAGCAGGGAAACTAAGTAAGTAAGGAGAGATAGAGCAGAAGTGGAACAGGCTAAGCTGGCAAAGAGAAGGGAATGAACCTCTACAGAAAACCCCTCTGGAACACGATGAAGTGCCTCAGATAAAAAGTGGAGGGATGAGAGGGAATACAGAAGGGTGGTGAGAAGAAGACAAAGATGCAAAAATGGGGAACCAGATGCAAGGGACCTAGTCCCCAAGCAGACCAAATAGATACCAAAGACAGGGAAACTAGAATGGAAAGGAAGAATGTCTGCAAGTCAGGACGAATGAATCATGAACATGAGAGGGACGAGGCATTTGGGTGTGAGTGAGGAGCTGTTAGGGAAAGAAAACACCACAAACCCTAATAAAAAGCAAGGAGGAAAGACAAAGCAATCCCAAGAATTGGGTTCATGGAGTGAAGAATTGGCAATATCAAAGAACACAGGCAAAAGATAAGGAAAAGAACATACCTGAGAATCAAATTCAGAAAGAGATTGGAAGATGAAGGTCATTCCTCGAATGGTAAAGCACTACTCAAAGAAAATCAGGATAAATTTGTAGTTCAATAGGCCTTTCACAACTGAGGAGAAAGAATGTTGGCTGAAGTGTCAGGAGTTGGGAGAACAGTAAGCATGTGATAACGCACAACACACAGAACAAAGGCTGCAATGTCCCCAACAGTCAAGTCTCCAGAAACCATAGTAAAAAAAAATAGGGCCTGTGTGTTTAGCATCATCACTCATATAGGACTAAGTAGAAGACACCATCATTTGAGAATTCAATGCTTTTGAAACAAAACCCAGTATATAATGAAAATCAAAGTTTCATAAATAATAGCAAATCTCATCAAATTGAACTTAGATAAGAAATTTGAACATTTCTGTTCAATGAAATGCTAAGGAAAAGAATGCAGTTATCACAAATACAAGTGCATAAGAGGAGTTATTGCACATGGAGGTTGTGTTGCCTTCCTATTGGTGGAGGGTTATTGTTTCATGATTATGTCATCATGCACCAGCACAGTTCATGTTATCATCTCAAAATTAATGTTGAATGATATAATATCACATTATCAACAACTCTCATTTTATTAAACTGAGATGTCAACAAGACACTCACTAGAAATGGGTAATTAACTCAACTAATTGATATAATTGATTTCCTATGAGCATTGATTAGTGACATGCAAAATAGTTGATTAGTTTATTGAAAACAATTAACTAACTGAAATTATTGTCTCCAGTTATTATTATTTTTGATTATTCCAACTATCCAAGTCCCATGTGAGCATAATTGATTAGTTGAATGTAACTGATTAATAAGCCTGATGATTAAGTGACTAGCAAAGTCCACTAATTGCCTAGCTCTAATACCCACAATGTTAACTCATTTTTACTATTACTCTATTGGAGAAATGTCCAGTTAGTTAGAACTGAACACAAACTCTGGTTCAGCAGTAATTGATTAAAAAAAACAAGAACTACAACACAAATGCCTAGATCAATGTCTTAAAGCTTCAAAACAATTTTTTTAATACTGCCTAAAATTGTAGTTTTATAAATATTTTAGTTTGACACTATAAAAACTTTATAAATTATTTTTTTTTCATCTTTAGCATTATGTAAAAATATTTTATTCATGAATAAATTTACTTTGTTAAAAAATAAATCTGAGTTTTGTTTTAATGCTGTCTTAACCAATCTCTGATATAAACTGTATAAATCAAGTAACATACATACTTGATACCACACTAATATCACTAAAACTTATCTTTACAACTAAACTTAAATCTGTGCACGTTGTTTGACTGACCTCATTTACAACAGTTCTCCGAGCACAGTCAAACGTTCCTGTAAACATGGGTGGCTGACCTGGAGGAGGTTTAGGCATCGTTTGTAGTCTCACCTTTAAAAGAACACAAGATGAAAAGTAATGAAATATTCTACCTTCATTACATCATATTTTATTAATCCAAATGGACTTTGATGAACTTATTGTTTCATAGACTACACATTTTTATCAGTTCTTATGTGAAAAACTTTTTATATACAACACAAAACTTTGGAAAACCAGAAAAAGCAGAGGTAAAGTTAACTTGAATTTTCACTGCATTGTAGAGATTTTCATATTGAACACAGTAACGTATACTGATACTGTAGTGGGAAATGTTTTTATATTTCAATTTAGATGTTTCCTATAAGTTGTTTGTAGAGGGAGTTTTGGCATAATGTAGTGATGATGTGTGATGCCTAGAAATTTTGTGTCTAAATTTGATGTTATGTTTTGAAATTTCTAGACTTGGGAAGAAAAAATGTTATAAAATCATCAGCATCTTTGTTGTTGAGTTAATTAATGCACAAAACAGGCAGTTAGTCAGTTCCTTGCTAAAAATGTTTTGAGTATATACAAGAAAAAATTTAACAAGTACAATAAGTGACTGTTAAGCTTTATTTGTGGGTTAGGCTTTTGCTTGTTTGTCATTAGATCATGAACCCATGGAAGCTGTTTGACTTTCAGTTGAAGAAATAAAACTCTTTCTTATTATTCTTGGAAATTAATCAGAACCTGCCCAATGATAGAAACTATTATAGTACTGCTATTAGAAGTGGGATTGAAAAATTACTGTAAATTATGGAACAACGGAAAGAAGAACAAACAGAAAGAGACAGAAATTTAAATGAAGACCAAGATGAATGAGATTGAAAATTAGAAGAACAAAGATATAAAAAAAGAAAAAGAAAAACTGAAAGAGACAAAAAATTTGAAGGGAAACAGGAATTAAAAAGAAGAGTTACAAAAAGGAGGTATAAGATTCTGTAATGAATTAAGAGCTAAAATATATTTGGTTGAAGATAAGAATTATAATGACAAATTTGAAAAAAAACAAAGGGATCTATAAAATACAGAAAGATTACAATCACAAAACTGTTGAAGTGCAGAATGATTATAATAGCAAAATCAATTATGTATGTAGAAAAGAAAAGCTATAACAGAATAAAATATCTAGAAAAAGAATTTGTAAATGCAAGAACCAAACCATTCACACATCTCACCACAGTTGCCAAAGAAGTTCCACTCCCAAACACCATTAACTATAAAATGGAACAAGAGAGTCCATTTGGATTACACCTGTCATTTCTACCACAGCATCACCTTTGACTACAGAACCTTCCTGGACTACTCTAGTTATACTGCCATCTAATCCAGTTCCAGAAATTAGCTGGCCAGTTCAACAACATTGCCAGGTTGATAAACCAACATATTATGACAGAAAGGTACCGTGGAAGACATATCAGACTTAGTTCAAAATAACTTCCAAGGTGAATGTATGGAATGGTAAACAACAAATTTAAAAGTACCAGCCTTAATAACATAAAGCAATCTTCTAGCTGAGAGATGTAACAATTATCAGGCATTAGTGACCACCTAATCAAATAGATATGGAGTGTCACATCAGAAGTTCCCAGAGCAAAGTTTAAGTGCTTCGTAAAGAAAAAGGATGAAACATTAGCTAAACTTGCAGAAGATATGAAAAGGCTTGCCCAATTACCTTAATCATATGCTTCATGTGAAATTATGGATTCAATGACACATGACCAATTCACAGATGTTACAGTGGATGAAAACATGCAAGTTAAGCTACAGCAAAGTAGATGTATATCTTTAAAAAAAACTGTCCAGTTGGCAATGTAACTTGAATCAATTGAACCTGCATATAAACTACTAAAACTAACATCCATAACTTATAGAATCATCAAATCAAGTATTACAAAAATATTTACTCACTCTGATGAAGATGTGAAACAATCCATTGCATGTTAACTTGGAATCGAAGAAGTAAACATAAGAAATGGTGTTTTAATTGCAACTTAAAATGACATAGTGCTAATGCCAGGAATGCAGACAAAAGCCTTAAATTAGAGAGTTGTTTAATGATGATGGAGGAAGTAAACCATAAGAGAATGAAAGTATTACAATTGATAATTTAAAAAAATAATGCCAAAAACTGTTCCTGAATGATGACAGGAAAAGGAAGCTGCTATAATTCTGGAAAACATGGACATTACATCTGAAACTGTAATGAATCAGTCACTGATTATAAACCAAGAAGGCACTATCTTGATGATAAGAATACTCTATCTGCCCCAATAGAAATAAGGTATGTATTATTTTAAAAAAATCAGTCCACAAGTCAACAGGATAAAATACTTTCAGCACTGTTAAAATCTGCAGTGGTAAAACTACAAAAACATTCAAACTTTATCACAATAACACTGTCTTGTTAAATCATGAACCAGTAATTAATGCATAACATAATACAGAGACAGCAGTGGACTTTTTGGTCCTTTAAAGCTGTCCTTACACACTTATCATTAAATCAAGTAAAAATTTAAATCCATTCTTGATTTTTCAGGAAATCATAGATTTCCTTCTGGAACTCTTGTCAAATACTCCATGGTGTCCACTACCACCGACAGCAATTCATTCTATAAATTATCCAATTACCCTTTTGAAAAATAATACTGTCTTAACTAGAGCCTAGCCATTCTTTTCCAAATCCACATGTATCCTATTGTTTTCAGAATACTTCTTAAAGAAATCAGAATCCTTTATCTTACTGATTCCATGGATAATCTGCAAATTTCAACAACAAGAGAAAATAAGCTAAGATATTTTAATCTATCTCTATAATAGAACCCTTTCATCCTTGGAATTACCCCTGTAATCCTCCTCTGAGCTCTTTCCAATAAGTCAATATCCTTTCTGAGATAAGGAGACTAAAACAATACACACAGCATTTCAAGTAAAGCCTAATACTGTCTTTTATAGAGACAGAATTACCTATATTAACATGTAATCAATATATCTATAAATATTCCTTAACATTTAATATTTCCTACCAGCAAGCAGTAGCAAAAAACACTATGCCAAGATCCTTTACTTCAGTCATGGGTGGAATCTCATCTGTATTAAACATGTGATCAAAATTATAATAACCCAAATATGTACATTGTACTTAAATATTTATCCAACTTACAAACTGGTCCATATTATCCCATGTTACCTCAAAATCCTCAATACAACTACAAGTACCCAATAATTTAATGTATATAAGAAAAAAGCAAAGGCCCAAGTACTGAGCAAAGAGGTATTACATTAGTAATAAGGATACAGTTTGATTAGGCTTCACTAATTACATGTTTGCTTTCTCTTATTCAACCACCCTACAATCCAATTAATAAGTCTTTATCTAACCACCACAGATGTGATTTTCCTAGGTAATTTTTTGTGTCATTTTATCAAAAACATTTGAAAATATAACTTCACCAAGTCCACCCTCTATCCATTATTGAAATAACAAGTAACATTCTAAAAAGAAGTTAACAGATTAGTAAGGCAAAATAATTTCCTTATAGTGAAACCATATTGGTTCTCTCTTATGACATTAAATGGTTTTGCAAAATCTTCTCTTATCAGATTCTCTAAAATATTTTCCACTAGAGATGTAAAACTAACTGGTCTATGTTTTCCAGGGAAATGTCTGTCATCATTGGTACTTTTCTTATCCTAAGGCACCTGCCCACAGTATATTGACTTGACAAAAATGAAAGAAAGATGTTCATATACTTGAGTTTTAACCATCTTTGAATCCTTAGGAAATATCCATTCACCACTGGCTAAAGAAACGGTGATAAAGTACCTGCTGCCTCTTATGCCTGGAGATGATTGTTCTCCTGTGCTTGTAATGTTTGGTCCATGGAACTAACATGGTATTCTATTCAAGATCAATATAGGGATGTACCATGGCCCTGCTGCAGGGACATAGATATATTCTGAATACAACATGATAAGAGGACACAAGATGAAGATTTAGAAAAGACAAGCTAGGCCCCACTTAAAACATTTTGATGTGCCTAACAATTAAATTGGCTTACTGAATGAGTTACCATTGGCTGGAACTTTACAAGAGTTTAAAAGAGAAATCAATCATTTCCTGGAAAATAAAACATGAGTTTAAGTTTTTACTTTTCCTCATGCAGGATTGGTTTTGAAGGATCAAATGGTCCTTGTTGTTGTAACGAATTTGTTATTCTAAATTTATTTTAATATCAAAGTTTGTTTAGATTAAATTTATATTTAGAAACATACATAGCTTATACTATTAAATATGTATTGCAAAACTACCGCCTATTCTCCAAAGTTGTTGAAGATTCTCGAGAGTAAGAATTAACAATATATGTATGTAAATGCTTAAATTTGTATTGTTACGTAATCTGAATTTTCTAGAAAATCTCCACATGCCTATAAATATAACCAATGCAACACGACAGAAGAGAATATCTATTATTAGTTTGCTATAATCAGCGTGCTATAAGCTTTGGAAGCTATAACTGTGATTGTTATAACACTTATCAATCGGGAAAATTTCAGATAGTTGACCAAGAGCATTTACAAAGTTTAAACATTACAAATCATTTAACTTCAGTGGATTCATATTGGACATTTGTACTTTTATAAAAATATTATATAACTTCAGCAGTAAAAGAAACTCGACCTGTAATCAGCATGTGTGGCCAGTGAATAACAAAAGACAAAGCTAGCTAGCTTTGTGTTAAGTGAATTGTGCCTACGTCAACTCGAAATTAACTCGTTCATCGTGAACCCTCGATAAGATATTAAGGAAGTTCCAGACTAGAAAGAAGACTTTATATTGCTTGTAAGTTTGTGAAACTTTTGTTTATAAATCATTGTTTGTAATAACTATTTATAGTAACTGTTATTGTAAATTGTATTGTTGTGTGTATATTAAAATGCATTTGTGTTAAAAAAGAAACTGTGTGTATCAATCTTGTTGGCAAATATCATAAACCAACTGTACATCGGCATATATTTAAATATTAAATCCAAAGTACAATTTAACTACTAAATTTAAATTATCATTTAACTCACTTTAAGACCAATCGAAAGTTTAATACGTAACATTTTAAACATTTAAAACCACCTTTTTAAGTGTGGTAAAATAGTATTTGTGTTAAATAAAGTGACTATATATATATATATATATATATTGGTTTTTATTTAACTACTAGATCCAAAGTACAATCTAACTACTAAATTTATATTTCTCAGTTAACTCAATTTCAGACCTTTCGAAATTCTAATATGTAACATTGTCTATATGTTACATTATTGTCAAATCTTGTAGCACTAACACTTCCAACACTGTCAAATCCCACAACAGCAATAAATAAATGCTGTCAAATTATGTAGCAGTAAGACATTACAAAACATTGACAAATACTTTAGCAGTAGTGCTACAAATACTGTTAAAATCGTTTAACAGTTACTTTTTAATTTTGTAATCACTTGTAGTTGTAGCAGCAATATAGTATAAAAAACATTAACAAGTTAAAATTACAAGCAAAAAAAATCTCATGAAACAGTACTATAAGGTAAAAATATAATATCAAGCATTTTATTTATTATACAGAACTAGCAAAAATATGGCAAACACATTCAAACACTACAGAAATAGACTGTAATACATATGAAGTAATGGAACTGTAATACACATACACAGATATTTAACAATGGTATTGTGTCAATATATGGAACAGTAAAATCAACTAAGATAATACAAAAACAATATGGCATAAGCTAAGCATATAATATTAATATATTGTTAACAGCTGTATTGGTAAAATACTATATATATAAACTTTTATCAACATATGCAACAGTACTGTTACACATGAAGCAGTAAACAATGTACATACAAATGTTACAATACACTGTTAACTACATTGCAGAAATATACATAATATTTAAGGACAATAATGGACCTGTTTGTCCACCTAAGCTATCCCATCCACTAAACTAAAATATCTTGTCACTCAAATATTTATCAAGCCATCATTTAAAGTGAAGTTAAACACTCTTAAATTTACTGCTTATAACTATACCACATCTGAAGGCAACTCATTCCACTTCCAAAGGCAACCATTCTGTTAGAAAAATAAAGCTGTCTTAGCTAAAGATTGCTCCTACCTTGCTAAAATTTATGTGTACCCTAGTCCTACCATTTTCATCATTAATTAAATCAATGCAAAAAAAAGATGATCCATCACCACTATCAAATCCTTTATAATTTCATACACCTCAATCAGTTGCCTTTTAACAGTTTGTTTAACTCTTCCTTCCTATAATTTGTAAATATATATCTTACACAATGTTTTAAAAAAAAATCTTACTAACTGCTTTGAATATTTTAAATTTTATTCATATATCAACTTATCCTCATGAAAATTGTTGATTATAACATTCTACTAGTACTATTTTTGTGGCCAAGTGCACTTTATCACATGTTACAACTTACACCTACATTTGAGTTAAACCTACTTTTATAATTTTACTTGGATATTCTATTGTATTAACTGAATAAAAGTATAGCTGCTCTGATATCAAATAGGTATAATTTTCTCCTATATAGAGACTCTATAAAGGTTTTTGTGAAATGGTGCCACTTATTTTATTACTACTAGTAGTAGTTATTACTTTAGTTATATTGATGTACTGAATCAATCTTTCAAAGTAACTAGTAAAATAATAACCTTTGGACTTTTCCCTGTTACACGTAATCTTACTACTACTAGTACTACCCTAATCAGGCTGTTAATGTTATCAAAATATATTAGCATCGAGTTCAATTTCCTAGATTTAGTACATGTAAAATTTCATTAAACATTAGCTTTTCTAAATACAAAAATAAGGTCGTTATTAAATAATCTACAAATTTTACATGACAAAGTTCTATAACTTAAGTGTGTTGCTAGATTTGTGAGAATATTACTCTTTGAGCTTCTGTTTACAGATTTATATGCACACTATTTTGACTAAGTCTGAACTTATACGAGTTAAATTCTCAAGCTCACCTTAATAGTATCTAGGGGATGGCCGGCTGCAACACAACAAGCGCCACCAAATCCACCTGCAATGAAGTTTTTGCCTGGGCTAATTTTGTTTACATTGGAAACTGTTTGATCTTCCATTTCTGTTGGAATTCTCGGATCTTCTGACATAATGAAAAATATAACTTATCACACAGAAGAGCAAATATATTAAACAACTCACGACCCAGTCACTGCCTAGTATATCCTACCAGAACCACCATTCCAGAGGCTCACTCCACTTGTGATGCTCATGCGCCTAAACGATGTCACATGATTGAGAGGTTAATAATAGATATCGTTTTGTAGTTTTCAGAGTTTGTGGTGCGTACTGGAGAGATTTAGACATTTGCGACAACAAAATTAATGAAATGATTTTTACTCTCCAGATAATTTTTGAAAAACACTCTTTTATTTTAATCTACGTTTCGCCATAGAGACTGTGGTATATCCAGGTAAAAACAAAACTAACTTTAGAGCAATGAGATAAGTTAATGTTACGTCTCCGTTTGTTAATTAACTTTCCGTAACTTCGTTCCGACGACACTTAAGCGACACAAGTCCTTTCTTAATAAAACTAGTTTATTCTTTCCGAATATAACTTTACCGATAAACTCAACTTCAACAATCGCGCTAAACAAACGCTGTAACGTCTCTCGTGCTCTCTGACTGCAGTTCAATTACTCACTGTCTATACACACATTACATTACCTTCCCCTCGCGTCAC